CAAAGAGAAATAAGATAACCCTTATAATTTTTCCAGATTAATGCCTAGAGAGTTTTCATGGCATAGTATGTATGGGGTAGGGGTGACTGAGGTATAGAAGTAGTGTCCCCTGATCTGAGAAGACAAAGTTGAAAATCAGAGAGGCCAAGGTTGTAAGACACAGAAACTTAAAGAAGCCCATTTTCAAGATAAAGTTTTTAATTCTGAGTGGAAAACTACTAGTGGACAAAACTGCAGACTTGTCTGAGGTCAGGCATCTGAAAGGGTCCGTAAACAAAGCGGGGAGGGGCAGATAGTTAACAATGTATGGCTTCACTATGTTAACTCTGATTGGAAAAGTACTGGCAGTTAAGAAGATACCCGTGGCTTAATCATTTGCTGTTAAACTCAATGTTTAGAGGGAATGGACCAAGGGTCTGGGTGGCAACCAGGAAGATTGTACCCCCATAGTACTTCGCAATGAGAAAAAGGGGGAAGGAACCTGTGCACTGTAACTGCCTTAGATGTACCCATCTACCAGACACCCAGCCTTGCAAGACTCAGTTAAAGTCTCGCTTTTGCTTGTCTTCAAGGCTTTAAGTCCATTTCTTGAGTCTGGACAAGTGAACCCATTTCTCACAAGGTGGACCTGAAGAGAGTGGGATGACAGCTTTAGAAAAAGGATCAAAAAAGCTGTAGAGGGCTCCCTCTAAGCATCACCCAAATGCTCAGATATCTGTGGAAAAACTTTATTACCTGAGGGAAGGGAAACAGTAGAAAGCAGCTGGGAAAACCATTTCCAAGCTCAAAAAAGCAGGCAATTTTTGTATTCCAATGGGTGGGGCACTCAATACATCCTTCATTAGGTAGAGTACTCAATACTGGATAAAAATTACCTTTAAAGTTCATTTTGGTCCAACTCAGGTAAATACAAAAGCAAACTGTAAAAGAAAAAAATGAAACTACTTCCAAGTAGCCAGTTTGCATCACAGAATAAGGAACCCTGATAGAAATCAGAAATACTCGGCACCCTAAAAGGAAAAACTCGTAATTGTGGCATTTACTATAAACTGACAGGCAAGCAAAGAAGCAGGAAAACATGACCTATAATGAGAGAAAAGAACAAATAGAAATAGACACAATTAGTACACAAAGACATTAAAAGTTATAATTAGTATTTTTCATATGTTCATAAAGTAAAAATAAAATAAGCAGGATAAAAAGTGATATAGGAGATACTTTAAAAACCAAAACTAAAACCCAACAGTAGTGTTTGACTCAATCTCCTTACTCTCTGATATTCATAAAGTAATTAACTACTGCAGTCAAATGCTGAATTCTGGGTAGCTTGGTCTGTTCTGTAAGACAAGCAAACACATTTGAAAAATTTTAACTTGATAAACAATGTCTTGCAACATGAGTAGTACATCACACCAAATATCATATGATCACAACTAGTTCCCTCTCTCTTTCTGATTTGGTATACAAATGCTCTGGATTACAAGTGGAACAAATTCTCACAAACCAAGGTTTTACTATAATTTCCTTGAAAGCAAAAATGGTGACATCTTTATTCTATAGAATGCAGGTATGGGTTGCCCTGGCATCAAAAAGGAATCATTTTGTGAGGCTGAATTCTCAAATACTTTCACCTCAACAAACTTTACATTGCCACAGCATCCCAGGTAAGATAGCTACCTTGGGTAAAAAATGGCTGATGGTCTTGGAAAATCTCACTGAGCAGCAACGACTGGTTTGTGTTTGCTGTTACCGTTCTTTGCCACATTTCTTTTATATTTAATATGTTATTATAAAAAGTGAATTTTAATAATTAACAGACATTATGAACTTTTGCATGTTATACATAGGCTTGATACAGACTGACAGGACTGCACAACCTTAACTTTTATATTTTTTAGTTGTGCTAAAATATACAGGACATAATTTCCCATTTAATCATTTTTCAGCATCTAATTCAGCAGTACTGATTATATTCACAATGTTGTAGGACTGTTGGGACTATTTCCAAAGAATTTTCATCCCTCCAAAGAGAAACTCTGTACCTATGAAGGAATAACTCCCTGGTAACTTCCACTCTACTTTCTGTCACTATAATTTACCTGTTAAGGACATCTCATGCAAGTGGAATCATACATATGGTCATTTCGTGGCTATGGTTTTTAAACCACTATATATATATATATATATATATATATATATATATATATATGCACAGTGAATATATTCCACTGAATATATAGATAGATACACAGACAGATAGATACATAAATCACACTTTGTTTATCATTCATGTGTTGCAGGGCACACTGGCTGTTTCTAGCTTTTGGCTACTAGAAACCGTACTGCAGTGAAGACTGCACGACAAGTCTCCATTTCAGTTCCTGTTTTCAATTCTTTTGGGTATACACAAAGTTAAATTTCTGGGCTATGTGGTAACTTTATATTCAACATTTTGAGGAATGTAGCACATTCTACAGTAGTTGTATAATTTTATATTCCTACCAAAATGCATGAGTGTTATAACTTCTTTACATATTTCCCAACACTTCTCATTTATTTGTTTTTTTTTTTATAGCCATCACAGCATGTTTAAAGAGGTATTTTCTCATAGTTTTCATTTGGATGTCTCTAGTGACTAATGATTTTGATCATCTTTTCATGTGTTTATTGCTCCTTTTTATCTCTTCTTTGCAGAAACATCTATTCAAATTCTTTGCTTATTTTTTAATTTGGCTTTCCTTTTACAGTTGAGTTGAAAGAATTCTTTACATATTCTGGACTTAAACACCTAATAGTTATACGATGTACAAACTTTTTCCCATCCTATAAATTATATTTCCACTTTCTTGATAACACCCTTTAATGTCCAAGTTTTTAAGTTCAATTTATATTTTTTTCTTTTGTTTTTCATGCTGCCTGAGAGTTGTCTAAGAATTCATTGTAAAATAGGTCATAAAGATGTATCTATATGATTTTTCTTAGTTTTATGGCTTTAGCACTTATGTTTAGGCAATTGATCCATTTGGAGCTACTGTTATTCAGTGGTGTGACGTACTGGTCTAAATCCATTGTTTGATTTCCTAGCACAGTCAGTGGAAGAGAAAATTCTTTCCCCATTGAATAAACTTGGTACTCTTGTCCAAAATCAGTTGGCCTCATAATTATGGATCCAGTTCCATATTTTCAATTCTGTTCTATTGCTCTATATGTCTGATGTTATGCCAGTTTACACTGTTTTGATTATGCAGCTTTGCAGTTAAGTTTTGAAACTGAGAAGTATGACTCCTCCAACTCTGTCCTTTTAAATATTGTGTTGGTTATTCAGCCCATCAAACCAATCTGTATGTATTTTTGCAAAAAAAAAAAAATTGTTAGAATACACTGATTCTGCAAATAGCTTAGGGTAGAGTTGACATCTCAATAATATTCAATCTTCCTGCTCATGAATATGTAGTCTTTTGCCAATTTCTCTTGATCTAATGCAAAGTGAGTTCAGTGCAAGCACTCAAAAGATCTCAAAGACTATGATCCTGCCCACTGCACTGACAGGACTTTCATTTCTCCACTCCATGAAGAAACTTCTAAATAACCATAGAATAATTTCCACAGTCAGTGTGATCTCTCATTAAAAGTATAACAACATCTCGGAACAACTACTTCAGTATTAAGAATTGTTGAAAACTTAGTTGTGAGGTTTTATGACTACATAATTCTATCACAAAGGTAAAGAAACACATGAACATATAAACATATTCTTACACACAAAAACACCCATATTCACAGAAAAAGACTGAATCAACACTATTTATCTAATTGCTGTTGCATCACATTAGAATAAGGGGAAGTAATTACCTATAACTAACATATCAAAGAATACCTCAAAAATCATTTTTTTATTGTAATTATAATTCTTGCCTGAATTAATACTGTATTCATCAAATCTCACTCCAAACAACATAGGAATGTTTAGTATACTACAGTAGCCTGCAATTTTTTATGCTAGTGGACACCTCTCAGAAAAATATCTTTTTCAACAGGCAGTTCTAAGATATATGTGTTTAAAAAATATATATCAACTACTCCCTGCTTATCATCTTATTTGTAAAGCATAATTTCTTTTTATGAAAAATAAGTACTAGTATTTTCATTCAATAACAATGGTTCTTCATTCATACTATAATAATGATCACTGCTTTAGAGTACATTAAAAAAATTAAAAAGGAAGATGAGAAGTAGGGATATTTCTCCTCACTGTACATCATAACTCTTATTTCTTAATGCTTAAACACTGAATTGCTAGCCCTTTCTTTTTGCACTATCTCATTTAATCTACTAATGTTGCCTTTATATCAATAATAAAACTTTTTCTCCACGCATTTTACAATGGTTATAATGTGACATATAAGGGGAAGAAAGCAAGAGAGTACAGAATGGGAGGTAGCTTTGGGAAAAGCACAGAAGAATCTCCATTGCAAGTGGACTGGAACCTGGGGAGTAGTTAGAATTAGGTTTACAGGGTTGACAGGAACCTCCAAGTTTTGCTCTCCAAAGTTTACCCCACGGAAATCAGCGAATTTAATTCCTTCTCTCCTAGGTAAATGGGCAGGATTAGTAATCCTTTCCTACAGGAAAAAAAAAGTGATACAGAGGAATTGTTACCACTTTCCAAAATGAAGAAATTATAGAAAGCCCACAGCTAAATGATACCATCTCCCATTCCTAACACTAGTAAAATATGAATACTTCCTTTGTAATCTGTTGTTTCTAAGGTAACAGAGATTTCCACCAATTTTATAATCTGTTCAAATAAATTTTAGGACAAAGTACAATTTAGAATCACACCACAACTGCCAGGTGGAAAACGCATACACCAAAGAAGTGCGAGCTGCAATATTTGGGCACACAAAGTGATCAAAGGTGAGGGGAGTGATATCAGTGAGAGCTGAACCAACAGTCTGCTCTGGTGGCTTTGATTTTTTTTTTTTTTTTTTTTAACTTACATCGCTGAGCCTTTCACGGGAGCTGCTCCGGTGGAAACCCTTGGATTCTGCACTGGCACTTTCGCTGTCACTGTCCCTGCAGCTGTTCTGTCCTGGCTTGAGCTAAAGGAAAAAGAACAAAATGAAAGTCAGTGGTCTCCTCATACAAATGTTTCTTAGCTCCTGATTTGTGACCCCTGTCAGTAGTGAACAATTTGAGGACCTGAACTTTAACATTCTCAGTTTCTGAAGAGTGTGAGGCAAGCTGCCACAGGAAAAAAACATGGAGAGTAAGATGAGCAATAAGACCTAGCATGAAATGCCACACAGGGAAAAGAATGAGCACCCTTAAATTAACAGCTCAAAAGCTGATCCAAACTCCATGACTTGGAGAGTAGATTTTCCTCAGATTTCTTCTCTTCTCTTCCATTGTGATTTTTTTTTTCAACACAAAGACCAAAAACATTGACTAAAACCAGATTTATCTAGTATGATTTCCCACCTTCTTTCTTCTGTTCTCTTCTCAAACAAACAACAAATTAGGGCAAAAACAAGGCTTTCTTCTAGGAGAAAATGATAAGACATTGTGATGTTACACTTCAATCTCTGAGAAGATATTTAATCATTGTGTTTTTCAGACAACAATCTGAAAGTCTATTGAAGGATGTTTAAAAGTTACCAATTAGCCGGCCTGGTAGCGCACACCTGTAATCCCAGCACTTGGGAGGCTGAGACAGGAGGACTGTTGTGAGTTTGAGGCCAGCCTAGGCTACAAAGTGAGCTCAACGCCAGCCTGAACTGCATAGCGAAATCTTGTCTCAAAAAGATAAAAAAAAACAAAGTTACCAATTAATACCCACAGCTTAAGTAAATTAAATCAGTACTCATTCAACAGATACACATCAGTGATACAGTGGTTGGCTGGTCCCAAGCACTACAGAGAGGGTGCTAAAGTCAAAAGAAAGGGGATGGGAAGGGCAGGGGAGACAGAGAAGAAACATCTCTGACATTATGTACTAGTGGTTGCTACACATTTACCACTCAGTTGTTTCTCATTTTCATGAGAAAATGTTCTACAGATTTATCCAGCTCTGATTTTCCTTTAAACATAAACAAACATACAGAATCTAAAAACTATCACTCTATCTGATACTACAAAGTCAAATATATATGGATCACATTTTCAGACATGAAACTATGCAATGCCTATCACCTGTTTACGATATTCTCATTTTGGTAAGACGAAGTCAAATATGACAAAACAAGGAAATCCATACTAAAGGTAACCCAAAAACTAGCCAGTTAACATTTGGAGAAATGATTTTTCAAGCCTCAGATTCAAGAAGTGGATTGAGCTCATATGGGTGAGAGGAAAACGTGAGAGACTCTCCTGAGGTGATAAAGGTAGGAAGCAGAGACAGGCACAGCGGCAAGATAGAAAAAGATCAGGAGTCTCGTCTGAAAACAGGCTCCCCTTTTGTGAGAAAATAGGAACAAATGGAAAAGGGGACATGATGAGAAAACAGAGTCTCAAAACACAATCTCAATTTTTAGGCAAGATGGGATTCAAAGAGTACAACACGCAAGAAGTAACGAACTTTTTACATACAGATTTTCAAGAGGCTCTAAAGCCAAGAGGTAAAATGAAGTCAAGATGAATGAAGAGTATGAATTAACATTTCTTGTACCTTTAATTTATATGCTTCTTTAACGACTGTAGTTCACAACATCCATAAATTGTCCAAATCCCAGAATGAGGCATCTTTTTAGGCATTCTATCTCTACAAGTCTTTCTTATCACTTTCCTCTAAAATCCCCCTTTCCAGGAAATCTTCTATAATGAATCCCAGAAAATTACCCTGATTTTATTTTCTGTCCCCTTCAACCCTTTTGAACTTAGGCTTCTCCTAAGTTAATGTTAAACTTACTAATTTCTAAACTAATACAGTCATATGAACCTTTTTAATTAGTATGGGATAAAAGGTCAAAATATTGTCTTTTTCAATTTTCACCTTTATACCTAAAAAGGAGATTTTATCTGCAATTAACACCACCTTCTCTCTACTTAAATATTTGAGGTTCATTCCTGCCTTGTGTTTTTTCTTATCAGATTCTCTCTATCCAGAAATTTTACCTTCATCTTTTCTGTATACCTGAAATCATGGTATTTCTTTTTTTTTTACAGAGAATACAAATTTAAAAAACATTAAAAATGATACAGAATTTCAAAACAAGATGATAAGAAATCAACAATGGTTGTTATAATGCATATGGTTGTCTTCAAAGTAGTTGTTCAGATCTCCAGATATAAGCATGCATAATTAGTCAAAAAATTAAGAAAACAATTAAGCATTAACTGTTCCTTTCAAAAAACTCTTTAATAAACCAACAGAAATTAATAGTACAATTATCTTAGCTATCTTGTGTGCGCATATATATATATTTTTTCCCTCCCTTCTTTCTTTTCTCCTTTCCCTCATCAAACCAACATTGTGAAAACAGCCATACTCCCAAAACTGTTTCTTAAAGCTTAGATATTATGTCTTCCATTATACTGTATGAAAGGCTTTCTATATGTATTTTTAAGTTTTGAAGTTTATTTTGCATGTTATTCTTTCTTAAATGCCTTTGATAATTGTGATACATTTTTAAGTTCAAAAAGGCTTTTTGCTAAGTATAGCTATTCTGATAATAAATTATGCATGTAGAATGAAACCTCTAATTCATAAGACATATCAAAACTCATACTGCATTGGTTGTAAGTTAAGTATGGGGGGGTAAAACTACCTCCCCTATGTGAATGAAGAAACAAATGAATTAGCTCAAAGGTAGGCAAGAGTCTAGGACTATAATCTGTCACTTTGTTGCCCATTGTTCTGTTTTAATTCTTGGAGTCCCATTTAGATGTTTACATTTACATGGAAATAAAGATTTTGCAGTATATCAGTATTCTCTACATACAACTATATTCTCAAAGAAAGGATTCTCATTAAGTAGTAGCTGATGTCATTAAAGAGATGTTTATAAAAATTCAGTTTCCCAACTTCAATGAGAGATACACATGTAGTGGGGAAGTAAGCAAGTGAGAGCATCAAGGCTTTAACCAATATCAACTGGCTTAACACACCTGGACAGTGCATATCATCCTTTTCCGTGAATTTTCATGGAAGGAAAATGATACTTTTAACAAGGTCCAAAAACAGACTTCTGCGGCCCTGACAAAAAATTATCTGACTAAATGTTGATCTAGGCTAAGGGCAAAACCTTAAATGGACTGAGCAAAAGCAGCCTGCTAGCATTCCCAGTCCTCTGCCAACAAATGCATTTAAGTGAATTTTCTCCAGAGAGCTTTGCAGAAAATCCACCCTTACGCTACCCCTTTCTCCTTCAAAGCCGGGCTCAAGTTTGAAGGAAACATAGGATTTTAAGCTGTCAGACAGCTCAATATTTCAAAGACATGGGCTGATTATAGTAAGTACTAAAGCTAAATCACAAGATTTCAAGCAAGACGTGTTTATTCCTAATCCCAAGAGTATTACTTTCAAACTGGCATTTTCAGCCACATCCAATGGGCCATGTGGGGTAGCATAACAAAATCACAAAACTAAAACAAGTTTTAGTTCATCACCTGAAAGTCCTAGATAACCTACAATCAAGAGACATTGCAAAGATCAGGTATTGGCTTAAACATTTAAAGATCTAAGAAAAATCAATTGTGTGCCATGATTTGTCTGAGCACCCATGGTAGCTACTGTAAGAATGCTATTGCTATAATCAATACAAAGAGATTTCTTGTTGTTGCCCTTGATAGTTCAGGACTTTATTTTAAAAATACTGCAATCTATTCTTTAATTTCTCCCCATTAGAATATTACACAGTGTAAATAAAAATTAGAACTAAATAGAATGAAAGGAAGTATCTGGCATGAGAGGCACAAAATATGTCCATAAAAAATTGCTTTTATGAAATGTAAGTAGTCAGTTTGTTTTTCATTAGATTTCATTGTCAACAATACATGCCCCAAATGCTGAAACTACAACCTCATTACAGTATTAACTGTCATTAATGGCCAATTATAAAAATGATGATGAACATGAAAAGATGTCCCATCACCCTGGACCACATGAAGGTGGAACACTTCTTTACACATCTGTCAATCATTTGTGGGCCAGATTATGCCATTCTTGTCAGTTTAGATATGGAAAATTCAAAAAAGATGCTAGATGCCATTAACCCACTGAACAAAACTTATAAAAGAATAAATTATGTTGAGGTGTTACCTATGTCCACAACTTGAGAGGAATGATGTGAATTATGTAATCCAACACAAGAATATGTCCAAAAGTAATTTTCTTCAAGGCTTTTGGTTCCTCAAAGCAGTATATGTCATATTTCAGAATTGTGAGGTTCCTGTAAGGACCTAAAAGAACTCTACAATACCTTAAAATATGCAAATGAACTCTAAATTTTCTTGAGCACATTAATTTTACAAACTATTACATCTAATTTTTGTACAGGCATATAACATTTTGATCACAGCCATCTTTCCAAATTTCCTTCTTGTCTAATAGTCTCCCATCTATTTTCATGGCACCTTTTTTTTTTTTTTAAGATTTTACACATTAGGGAAAATATGATACTTGCCTGAGTCTGGCTTGTTTTGCTTAACATGAGGACCTCTAGATTCTCCTATTTTCCAATTATGCAAATGGCATAATTTTATTCTTTTTTATGAGTAATATTCATATATACAGAGTCTACTATAAATGTATACATACTTTAGGAAAAGAAAAAAGTATGAATTTTTTTTTCACCAGATGGTGTTACTTTCAAATGAAGGTCCTAGGGGATGTCATATATCGCAGAAAACCCACCGCACTGCCAGCCATAGAGAGTAAATTGAAAATGTACATGAAGCAATATCAAATGACCAAGGTTACCCAAGCAGCTGTACTAAGAAATGTCTGGAAGCTAATGGCCACCACTTTGAGTATCTCTTGTAATTGTGGAGGCCCAAGGTAACTTGCAATAATATCATGCTGTTTTAATAAATTTATTATAAAAACATTTATACAAGTTTTCTTTTCCTGAAGTGTGTATGCATATTCTCTTTCTGTCTCTCT